TGTTGAGACTCTTCTCTTTCTACGTTAAAAATAATAACCAAAACAGAAACAAACCGTAGAACCAGGCTGTGTTGCAAGAGAGTATTAGAGAATGTTACACTTGTCCCTTATCGGTTGTGTAACAGTTTCCAAAAGAGTTTAATTAATTGTCCTGGGATACTCCACCCGATTACCTTGAAATTTTGGATTAGATACTCATACTCTTTCACATATTATGTTAACACTTTCACTATAGATGGGAGGGATACTCAACCGTCGGATTCCGTTCAGAGAGGGTTAGAATTTTCTTTTTGGCACTTTACAAAATGGTAGAGGAAATTGCGGCAAAGGCGGAAACTAAGCAAGGTCGATGTGTCAAAGATCACCTTATTAACTTGGTATGAAGAAGTACATTAATTATTATATATTCTCTAAATCAATTTTTTTTTCATGCTTATATTTCTTTCTTTTCGATTGACTAGAAATATATCTTGTTATAGTGGATTGATATGTTGAAGTGTATGCTGGTGGAATTGGACCTTTGGAAAATTAAATCAACTACCCCAAGCATAGAGGAGTACTTGTCTGTTGCATGTGTAACTATTGGTGTTCCATGTTTTGTTCTCACATCACTATATCTTCTTGGACCAAAACTGTCCAAGGATGTCATAGAAAGTTCTGAGGTCAGTGCCTTATGCAATTGTACAGCTGCTGTGGCCCGATTGATTAATGATATACACAGTTACAAGGTAATATTATTTTCTTCGTTAGAAGAATATTTTATCAAATGTTGGCTATTGATTTTTGACAATCTTTTTTCAATATATTGAACTGAGATAAAATTTTACATAAAATATTCTTTTTTCGAAACACTAACTTCTTCAAATCAAATTTTATTCCAAAAATTACTAAAATTTACATTTGAAAGTGAGAAGTGACACAAAAACAAAGCCTTGTCCGGCTAGATTGATATTTGATAAATTAATATAATATAATGTGCTGCTGGTTCATTTTCTTCTTATTAAGCTCGTCTCACTAAGTTTTCGCGCTAGAAGGATCAGACCACGTTGAATCTATTTTGTACGCTTTTTTTTCAAGTAGACATACAAGTATATAATTATAACATTAATCCTTATTATTTCGTGTGTTCTTGCAGAGAGAACAAGCAGAAAGTTCAACAAATATGGTATCAATATTAATAACACAAAGTCAGGGAACTATCTCTGAAGAAGAGGCTATAAGACAGATAAAGGAAATGATGGAAAGTAAGAGAAGAGAGTTGCTAGGGATGGTTCTACAAAATAAAGAAAGCCAATTGCCACAAGTGTGCAAGGATCTTTTTTGGACGACAATCAACGCAGCTTATTCTATACATACACATGGCGATGGGTATCGCTTCCCAGAGGAATTCAAGAACCATATCAACGATGTAATTTACAAACCACTCAATCAATATTCCCCATAATATGCCTTAAATCTTTTACAATATGTTACTAATCTTTGGAACTTGGTTGTGATATTATTAGATGCATGGACGAATTGTACTTCTTTTATGTTGTGCACAATAATGTACAACTGTTACTATGGGAAAAACTTACTTACACTGCTATTTTAACTAAAGCGCATTTACCATTATTAGTGTTTACCATAAAAACGGATAATAATTAAATTTATATGTGGTTTTAAGGATATGTGGATTAATTCAATACAAATAATAAATAATGTTAGATTAAACAGATAAATGATGTAATAAATTGTCAAACCAATTAAGGGAGTGATCTCAGACTCAGTAACAGTTTAATGTAATGCCTGCCTTCGATCCCGGGCTCACAACAATGAAGAACTGATGAACAAAAGTAAGAACTTTTGAATAAAAGAGAAAATAAGAATATATTGCCTTGATATGCGTGTTACAATGTGTCTAATGAATAGTCAAACGACCATTTAGATAGTAGGGGAGTTTTACCCTAAGTACAATTTCATAAAATGTAAAATTCTTCCATTTGCTAATCACATATTTTCTGCCGATACGTGCCGAGATTCACGCTGTGACATCCGGCTGGGCGCGGATATCACAACCCTTCTCTAGTCGTGCTCGATTATCTCGTGATGTTCTCCGAAGTTTTGGGATTCGAATCGGACCTGGGGGATGTGGCCCCGATTCTTCCGAGGGCAGGTGTTTTGCCCAGAACCTGACTCGAGGAGCTCCTTGCCCCGATTCCGGTTTCTTANCAAATCAATCCGGAATGACTTCAAATTTTGCATACAAATTAGAAATGACATAATGGAACTGTTCCAATTTCCAAAATCGAAATCTGAACCCGTTATCGACAAAATCAACCTTCGGTCAAACTTATAAATATTTTAAAACTTCAATTTTTCCAATTTCACCAAAAATGGGCTGAATTGACCTACGGACTTCCAAATCCAAATCTGGACATATGGCTAAGTATGAAATCACCATATGAAACTATTGAAATTATCAAAACTTCATTTCGGAGTCGTTTGCTCAAAAGTCAAACTCCGGTCAACTCTTTTTGTTTAAGTTTCAAAAATAAGAATTGTTCTTTCGATTTAATTCCGAACCTTCCGAAAACCAAACTCGACCTTGTACGTACCATTTTCAATCCAATCTTTACCCATTTGAACTCAACAATCTTTCCATAACCTTATTGGTACAAGCATGTATGACTAATACTCTCACACGCAAGAATCACACTCACAATCACCCATCTTTACCCAAACTCAAAATTGAAGAATAGGGGTTAGAAGCTTACCTCTTGGGTGAAGATCTTGTGATAATTCCTTATTGGATTTCAAAGCTTGAACAAGATTTTTGATGAACAAAGCACTTGAGCTTCTTTCTCTCTCTAAAACACTCTCACTTCTCTCTAAAATCATCAGATAATTGCCCCAAAATAAGCCACAAAGCCTATTTATCAAAATAGGGTCGGGTTATGAAAATAGGAAAATTAACCCTCCGAAATCGGGTCTGCGGTCGCATGACCGCAGAATGGGTATGCGGGTCGCACAATACACCGCAAAATTGGTGCCCAAAAATGGGCTTCTCTGGACAGGTCTGCGACTAATTTTGCGGTCGCATAACCACTTCGGTGATTGCAGATTTGGCCGCAGACTCGCATTCTGCCAGCCTTTGGTAATTTGGTCATAACTTCTTGTAGGAGTGTCCAAATGACGAACGGTTTGAAGAGTCATAAACTAGACTCGAAGACTTTCATTTGATAGATAGATCATCACATAATTCCTTATATATAGATAGAAATGCTCATTCAAAGTTTGGTCTTGTGCATACTTATTTGAAACTTTAGTCTATTATGAAATTTTCTAACTTGACTTAGACTTAGGCCTCTCCTTAGACCCCATATCACTTATAATATGCCTCGTACACTTGTTATCATATCCAATTGGTATTCATAATATTAATAGTCCTCAAATGAGAAGTAGAGTCCTCCCCCAAACATATAACATAACTTATCTCTTCTTTCACCCATTTCAATTTCCCGAATTTTTATTAACTCCCAAAATTTTCAAAAATTGCGCCAGAGTTTCCTTTGTAACTGGGCCTATTCACTTGCCATAGAATTCGAGAAACCAATCCTAACAACACATGCATAATCCAATCAACGTAACACAACATGAAAACAATACTAACACTGGCATCATAAGCAATATATTACTAGAAAAGGAATACCATTAGCATCAACTACTCAGGTGATACTTAACTTGTAGCAGGTAAGGTCTCAACATCTTCATAGAACACAGAAATAGACGTTTAAATTAAATACGACATTTTTGGGTCATCACAAAGGGTATAAGCCGAAACCTCTTCATTTAGCTGCAGTCAAACCAACATTGCAAGGGTATAGTATTTTTTTCATTGAGGAATATTAGTTTTGAATCATTAGATTATGTGAAAGCTTTTTTTTCTCAAATTCAACAAGAGAGATATTGGTTTCTAATTGATAGATTCTATAGCGATTTTCAAGTGTAATAAAAAGTATATTTAAAAAAATATTTGGTATGACGTGCAATAGTTATTTTTAAAATGTAAACAAATTATTTCGAATTGGGATTATATTTTAAATTATAATATAATTTTTAAAATAAAAGATAAGATATTTTTAAATTTTAGTAGAGAATTTTTAAAATAATTATAATAGAAGTCATATCATGGATAAAATCAAAAAACTGAAATCTTACGGATTATTGCATAATATCCGGCCAGATTTATTATTTATTTTTTATAGCTAATATACATAGATGATATACCGACAACACACGATTATACACCTGTTATATATGAATTATATAAAAATTACACATCCTCAACTTTTTAATTTAAGTGGTTGGGTGAGCACAAGTTTAGGTCGATAAGATAAAGCCAAAAGAAAAATATGACAGAATTTTAACCAAAGACTAAAAATATAAATAAAGTTTTTATGTAGACAATTTCTATTAAAACTCATCCTTTTATTACGAAATAAATTATTTTTTTGTAACAAAATAAATAAAGACATACAAAATAAGATAAAAGAAAGTAAATGTAGAAAAATATGTATGAAAAATCTAAAAAACAGAAATAAGAGACGACAATGAATTTCTTCTTCTGTTTCATCTTTGTTGAGTGTAAATAATTTGGATGCCGATCTCATCGATTTCAAATATTTTTTTTAACTCAAATACATAGATTATAAGATAAGGATATCTTAGATATTTGTTTTTATTTACATTGTGTGTCGTTTTTTTTTAAAAAAATTACTATTACTAGGAAACTGATATGATATTCGAATTTGAATTTAAATACAATTTAAGTAGTTTGCATTGAGGTTAAGCCAAGTATGGTGTCAAGAAAAAATAACTTGGCAATTTTAAGATAATATATGCAATGTTATATAATAATAATCAATTAATCTAACATTTAATGATTCAAATAACAACAAATCTGTATATGTAGGGTATTCAAAATTCAAAATCTGTTGGCTAGAGATATCGGTAAACTCAAAAAGGAGTCATACTGAAATAAAGTTTCACCGGCCAAAGAATCATTTATATTTTTAGATAGCCGATTAAAGTGAATTTTAAATTAACGATAATATCTTTAATTGCATCATTATAAAGATAATCATTATTAAAAAATATATAATATTTTAGAAATTAAAATTTTAAAATAGAAATATTTGTTTAAACATAATAGCATACCAAATAAGAATTCAAGTCGTAGTAAAAGAGTCACGTCCTAACCAAAGAATCGTTCATATTGCGCCAACCTTTATGCTTTGCCATAGCTCATAAATACGAGTTATTATTTCACTTTGTGACTTTTTTTAGGTTCCAATGACACCAATAAGAATGGTGCAAAAATAAAATTATCACTACGAGATTTGAGAAAATGTTAGCCTTTTTTTATGTAGTGTTCTTAATCAATATCTAACGATTATCTATAATTCTCTAGAAGATTTAAATTTTAAGGTTATTTATATATAATTCAAATAGCTCAGATATTTAACATGGTTAATGTCAAATATGAAAATGGAGTCTTACTAGGAAACAATCACTGGCTAAAGAATATTTTAAATTTTAGATAGCCGATTAAAATGGGTTTTGAATTAAGGATAATATTTTCACTTACATTAATATAAAAATAATTATTATTGAAAAATAAAGTTTAAGAAATTGAAATTTTAAAATAGAAATAGTTTTTAAAAAATATCAACACACCAAATAAGAGTTCAAGCAGTAGTAAAAGAGTCAAGTCGTATCCAAAGAGTCCTTCATAGTCTCAGCCTTTGATTGTTTTGCCATAAATATGAGTTATTATTTTGCTTCCTGACTACATTTTGGATCCAATGACACTGGGGAGAATGGTACCAAAAAAGAAAAATAGAATTATAACTAGGACATTTGAGAAATGTTTAAGCATTTTCATGTAGTGTTTTTTAATTAATATCCAATGATTATCTATATTTATCGAGAAGGTTTAAATTTTAAGATTATTTACATATAATCCAAATAACTCAAATATTTTGTAACGAACTAACCGGTCGTTTTGAGCTCTAGTGTGTCATTTAGCGGTTTGAGGCCTTTAGTAGCTTCATTTCAGGTGCTATGACTTGTGCCTGTGGTTGGAATGGAATTTCGGAAAGTTCGGAGTAGATTTAGAAAGAAAAATTCTAATTTCGGAAGCTTTAAGTTGAAAGAATTGACTAAGTTGTGACTTTTGAGTAAACGACCTTAGAATCAGGATTTGAAGGTTCCAATAGGTTCGTCTGATGATTTCAGACTTGGGCGTAGGTTTGGGTCGAGAATCGGGTGGCTCAGAAATATTTCGGTGCTTATTACGGAAGGTTGGCATTTTGAAGGTTTAAAAATTTCTTAAGTTTGGGGTTGGAGTGGATTTTGATGTTATCGATGTTCGTTTGGGATTCCGAGCCTGGGAATAGTTTCGTATGGTGATTCTGATTTTAGGAGCATGTCCGGATGTTAATTTTGAGGTCCGTAGGTCATTCCGACATCAATTGACGAAAGTGGGAAATTTGGAGGATTTTCGGGAAGTTTGATCGGGAGGAGACTTTTTGATATCGTGGTCGGATTTCGATTCT